AAAGATTTCAAGAATGCTTAACTGGAGGGTAATTATATTTTATTAAATAGAAAATTTTTAGCATTATTAAAATTTGGTCAACTACAGTTGCCGGTAACAAAGCTGGGCGTTTTTTCATTTGTGGATGAGCATGTGATGTTAAATACGATATAATCTTTTTAACGTAATATTGTTATAATTAATCATTAGAGTTCATAGAATCAAAATTATGTATTCCTTGAAATTAACATACTTGACTTGCAGTAATACCATGTTTTAATGCTTTTCTCACACTATCTCGAGTTATTTCAGCGGTCACCATATTAGAAAACTGAAACTGAAGATTGCAAAATAAGTTTAACACCGAAATTTGTAATTGTGAACCTATCATTAATGAAAAAAAAAGTTTGTATACGTAATAATATTATGTGAAAATCATAATGGATTCATTTGATTACTTGTGTAGGCATATAATTTATAATTGGTTTCGACAATAATAAATCCTTGTTCTGTGGCGCTATCCTCATCATCTGCAGGATTATTAGACGCTGCATTTGATACAATGGCTGAGTTTCCTGACGTTAATGTAGTAGCAAGACGTGTCGGATAATATCTCTTTGAGCTTTTCTATTCATTTTGTAAAAAATGTAAACTCGTTATGAAATGTTCAGATACAAGTTTGGTTTACTCTATTTACCAACATAATTTTTGCACGAATTATTAAATATATAGTTATTTACTTTGGGTCTATAGATAAGTCCATAATTAGTTAAGTCATCAAGTAATTGTCGTTGCGTATCTGTTAATCCTTCAACTGAATAATCCTATTTATTGTAAAAACAGGATAAAAAGCTGGACAAATTAAAATTTGGGTTTAAACTTTTTGTATCTAAAGTAATATTAAAGCTTCAAAAAAAAAGTTCATTACCTGCCCTAATTCCAGACTTCCTAGCATGAAAAAAAAATTCAATACTTCAACAACATTCATATGTAACATCTGACAATTGAACATGGTAAAATTAGCTATCCTTATATTAAGCTTGATAAAAGGAATTTAACAACAAAAAATGCAATTACCTCACTGGCCAAATCTAAATACTGAATTAAAAAAGCCCATACTTGAGTATTAACATCTTGTAATAAAAATTGAAATCCCTTATTTGTTATTTCTAGACCCTTCCTACAGTTTCAATCAGTATGGTTACGGAGTATTAACAAAAAAAAACTTTCAACTTCCTTCTTATAAACAAATGAATATGTAATGTTGATTACCCCTCCTTTTCTCTCATTAAGTTAGCTTTAGTGACAACTTTTAATACAGAGGCTCCTGGTAAACTCATTCGGTCAGTTCCGACCATAAAATGTAGAATTTCTTCCCATTTTGTCTTTGCATGATCATCCAGTAATTTAATATCTGGTAGTTTATGTGAATTACTTTGGCTATGCCTATGTGGTTTATTATACAGTTTTCCAAAACTTTGGTGTGATCCACTTAATAAAATTATATATCGTCAGCTGTGACCCAAATTTTAATAATGCTAAAAATTTTCTATTTAATAAAATATAATTACCCTCCAGTTAAGCATTCTTGAAATCTTT